CGAGACAGAATTGGTTAGTTGTCCAGTTTGTTTGGTAGCCCGTCTGTTTTTAAGCCGTAATTCTTGCCTTACAAGAGCTGCACTAAACAAATGGAAAGGCTCTAGGCAGCCCGAATGCACAAGAATGTCATAAAAGTTCTCTCCCTCAAAAAGACAACTTTAGAGCGCAAGTCAAACTCATGATAGGTGAGCAATCACGCGCACATGGTTTAGCGGTTTGCTGTGCTCTGTGATCTTATTCTTCTCCAAGACCCGATGCTTCATTAGCTTCTTTAACTTAGTAGGACTTCACGCTATTGCGTGAAAGATTTGTTTGGTCTCCCACTGCTATCTATGCGGCGATGTTAGCGAATAATTGGAATTAAATAGGAATTGTCTTGGTGAAATTTGTATGCTCTAGTGTTTTCTTTGCATTGATCTATTTTCATAATTATTTTACATATAATTTGTGTTAATTTATTTCGCTTTCTTTTCAGTTTTAATCTTTTATAAAGAATTTATTTGTCTAGATAAAGTTAAAAAAATCAATTTCAGTAATTGTTAAGCTAGTCTTCGTGGGAACGATACTTTATTACTTGTATGCGATATTGTGTACTTACAATTTTCACATCAAACCTCTCCTCTCTTTATGCTTTATTTGTTATGAATTGTGTCCTAGAAGCATGAGATGTAATAGGATATTTATTATTTATTTAATAAAAGAGTTTATTTATTATTTTATGTGCATATATTTATGAATATTTTATGAATATCAATGAAAATTTCATGATTATTTATGTGACCTTAAACATTGTATATAAGTGGTATATGCAAGAGGATAATGTTTAAGGATAATAATTAAAACAATATTCGTAATGAATTTAATTAAAGTTCAGAATATTTAATTAAAACATTATTAATGCATGTCATTCCCATTTATAATGGAACAATGTTATCCGCACCGTTAATACGGTAAGATATTCAATGAGTGTATTTCGCATAATGAGATTATGTGGAATAGGGACACAGGCACAATAGGAAGTTCTTATAATTTCTGTTAAGTATAGAAATTCTAATTAAGTCTCTCGATGGTCATATATGGAACGATCTTAATTATGAGTTCTTAGCAGACTCCTATTTATAGATTTGTGTCTTGATTTACTCAGTACGGATTCTGAGATCCTGAATCCTATTCCTTGTATTTTCAAGACATGATGAAGTAGGTAGCCAGAAATGTTATTATACGAGATGGAATCCATTCCTTCTTGAGAAAGAAGTAGATAAATAATTCTCTTGATTCGGTACTTGGACCAGTAGGAGCTCTGATTCATGAATTTGTTTTATGAATCATTGTCCATTAGAGAATCAATTGTACTCAAGGATAAATATAATTAGAGAGATTAACGGATTTCACCTAGCTATAATTATGAATTATTTATGGATGATTGATTTATATGCAATGACTATATCAAATGGACACTTCACAGTTTAAAAGTAATTTATGTCTATAATTACGAGAGTGTAATTTCTAGTTAATATTGGAGTAACTATTGGAATTAATAGAATTAATTAATTAATTAAAGTGTTTAATTAATTATTAATTTTATTAGAGCTCGAAATTATTGGCCCATGAGCACTCGCGTTGTCCTTGTAATTCTACAAGACACTAAGGGCAAAATAGAAATTTTAGAATTATTGAATTTTAAAATAAAACACTCAAGGATAATTAATTGAGAATTAATTATAAATTAAATAATGTGATTATTTAAGTTTAAATTTGAATTTTGAAACACACATGTGAAGGTGTTCACATAGTGTGAACGCACAACACAGTGTGAATCCCTTTGAGATTCAAATTGCTTGTTCTCCATAGTTATCCAATTAACTTATTTGATAAGTTGTTCAATTTAAAATTCAAATTGATTTAAGTTTGACTTAAATTGGAATTTGAATTTGAGTCAAAATTAGAATGTTGGATAAATGCAGAATCTTGCCCTAATCTCCTGCAGATATGCGCTAACCACAGGGGGGATATCCATGTGGTGGTTGGCCATATTGGATAAGGGAGAATGGATTTTGTTTCAAAATCAAATTCAAAGTACGAGATAATTAATGAGCTTTATCTTAGAGATAAAGATAAGACTCCTTCTGGGAGTCTGACTGTTAGTCTATAAAATAAGAGATTGTAGAAAATTGTGAGATACAATTTTTACTCTCCCTAGCTATAGTAGCCGAATTTTATAGAGTGAGGAAGAGGGAAATTTTCTCCAAAAATTCAACGTCATGCATGTGTTGGTGTTCGTAGAAATCTTGAGTATTCTTACTAATCTTGTTTTGTTTCAGGTGTGTCCACACACACATCTTTGTAGATTCAAGAAATTGATGAGGAAGATTTGGATTTTCTAAACTAGTATTGGAGCGAGGAACGTTCGAGGTCAAAGAACACAAGTTATCATCCTGATCGGTTGCTAAGTATAATTCCTAATTCGGTTCTTGGTAAATAAATTAATGTGATTAATTTATTCATACATAAATTAATATAATCTATAAAATAAATAAAAATTTTTATGAAAATTTTTGTTATACACGATCCACTACTCACACGCTTCCGCATCCGAAATCGTTTCGAAAACCAACAATATTATTATTCATTTTTCATTTTTTTGGAGGTTTTTTTTTCTAAAAACTTGAAATTATAGCTTACTAGTATTGGGCATATAAAATTTAAATATAAAATCTTTAGAAAAAGAAAAAAAATTAAGGTTCTGAATAAAAAGGGGGTCAAAATAGAACTAAAATGAAGAAATAAATAAGTTTTAAGTATAAGGGACCAAAATAGAAAAATAAAGTTTCAGGGTAAAAAATTTAATGGTAGGGTCAAAAATAACCAAAATAAAGAAATATAGGGGAAAAAAGAAACTGAAGCAGAAAAGAAATAAAGTTTTTGTGAGAAAAATGAAAAGAAATAAAGTTTCAGGAGAAAATAAAAAGGTAAAAAAAAACCACATGAATAAATAAGTTTTGGGATACCACCAGAAAGAAATATCTCTGGTAAAGTAACCTAGATGTTAAGTTTTAATTGCCGTATTATTAAACATATAAATTTTGATATAAAATCTCAAAAGGAAAAAAATGAAAAAAAAAAAAAAAAGTTTCAGAAGAAAAAAAGGGGGTCAAAAAAATTAAAATGAAGAAATTAATAAGTTTTAAGGTAAAAGGGACTAAAATGGAAAAATAAAATCTCAAGGTAAAAATTTAAATAAGGGGTCAAAAATAAAGAAATATAGGACAAAAGAAAGCAAAACGGAAAAGAAATGAAGTTTCTAGGAGAAAATGGAAAAATAAAGTTTTAGAGGGAAAATAAAAAAAGGTAAAAAAGATCATCAGAATAAATAAGTTTTAGGGTACCACGAGAAATGAATATCTAAGTAAGGAAATACAAATTTTTTTGGAGAAAAAAGCAGAAGGAGATGAGGAGCTAAAATAGGGGAAAGAACCAAGGGAGCAAAAAAAATGTTCATTATTGTTCACATTTTCGACCAAAACACTGTCATTTTGGTCGAAAAACACTTGAACAGTGAAGCGCGATTGCACTTTCTATTTTATAGATTATTCTCTTTTCATATAAAATTCTCCCAAAATTTCTTAATGTGTTGTTTGTTTGAACAATTCAAACCACAAAATTCAATTCAAACCATAGCTCAAGATTCAAATTGATCGGTGGATAACTAAATGAGGATAATTCAAACCATTAATAATAATTCAAATTCTTGATTTTAGAATTGACCTTCCCCCTTAAATTCACACAATTTGGATTGTTTTCTACAATGAAAATTAATGTTTTACTTTTTCTCTCTCCTTAGCTTCAAGCTTAAAACTGTTATAACTTATTCGTTTCAATTCCGATTAAGATGATTTTTTTCAATGTGTTCATAATAAAAAGATGAACAAATTCTCATCCATATTGTGTATTTTTTTTTTAAAATTTTCAACATGCACTTCAATAGAACGTGGACACAATTTTTGACTCATTCAAATGACATTGAATTTCAATTATATGAAAGACCTTACTTCTAGTGTTGTACATGGGACTAGTCACTCATTTCACATAAAAGATACACATTTCAAAACAAATTCTACATTGTCGTTAATGTTAGATATCTCCTTCACAATATATACATTTTCCTATTTCAATCAACAATGTATATTGGACGCGTTTGGAACTCATTAGTTCTATTCTAAAATGATTTGATTTTTTATATGAAAATGAAAATGAAAACATTTTCAATCTCAGACAGAAAAACATTTTTAATCTCAGACAGAAATTATTTTTGAAAATGTGTTTGGTAGTTTTATTAAGAGATTATTTTCAATATAAAAAAACCTATTAATGTGTGTCTCTCTGTTTGAGAGAAGAGAAAATGAAAACAAAAAATGAAAAACGACTAAAAATTATTTTTCATTTCTCTTTTATTTTACACTAAATTAAAAAAAAAAGTTTATTACGCTAAACATCGTTTTAAAATTTTTTTTTTCTCAAAAAATATAAAAAATAAAACGGGTTCAATTCCAACCGCAGTCCATCTGCATGCTTTTCCAGTTGTTATTTTCTCACAAGAAGCAAACGATCACTTTCAACATTAGTATGATACCTGGCCAAATTTTTTAATCTCACGTAACTTTGGCCTCGTTCACTTCACAGATTCGAGTTTTTAATTTGACCTGAGATGTGACATTTTCTAAAAATTTTTTACTGTAGTAAAAAAAATTGATGTGATATTTTTTTAAAATTTTTTACTGTAAAAACTTAAAATTAAAAACTCAAATCGGTGAAATAAACGAGACTTTTAATAGGCTACCGACTTGATCGACCTTACTCAAAAGAAAAATGCAAGGACTTGCTCAGTCTCTGCCACCTCAGATACTGTAATTCGAAACTAAAAACGAGGGCATTATCGTAAACAAGTTCAAGCAACAAACGGTGAGCCACTGCGATCTCAATCTCAATCAGCCATCAACAAAACCAGAGAAAAGACCACCCAAAAAAAAAAAAAAAAAAAAAAGAGAATAGATCGTGCTTATCACCGTATCCAACATAGAGATGTCTTCAACCTTCAGCGGCGACGAGACTGCTCCGTTCTTCGGCTTCCTCGGAGCCGCCGCGGCTCTCGTATTCTCCTGTACAACTACTCGGATCTCTCATATTCTTTTTCTCCTTTTCCAAATCAAGAAAAAAAAAAGTAAGAGAAAGTCACATACTTTGTTCATTGCAGGCATGGGTGCCGCTTACGGGACGGCGAAGAGTGGGGTGGGCGTGGCGTCCATGGGAGTGATGCGGCCGGAGCTCGTGATGAAGTCGATAGTGCCAGTTGTTATGGCTGGAGTGTTGGGAATCTACGGCCTCATCATCGCTGTCATCATCAGTACCGGAATTAATCCCAAGGCTAAGTCTTACTATCTATTTGATGGCTATGCGCACTTGTCGTCTGGCCTCGCTTGTGGCCTCGCCGGCCTCTCTGCCGGCATGGCGATTGGGATCGTCGGCGATGCTGGAGTTCGGTAAGCTCTAAACGGTTGTTCGATATTAGAATTGAGTTCAATTGAATGATTCATTGTGATTTAAGGATTCTTTTTTTTTTTTTTCCCTTTCCCCCAAATTAGTTGGAAGAGGATCTTGCTGTTCTGTTAATTCCATATGCTGTGATGATTTGGCTTGTGAATTTTGATACTGGATTTATGGCTCTCAAATTAACATATACTTCCTAGGTTGATGAGTATTTCTTCTTTTTTCTTTTTTCTTTTTTATTTTTATCATTTGGACTAATTAACGAATGAAAGTCTCAAACTTGAAACCCATCGAACTATATTTCACGTGACAAGACTTATTGGTCTGATGGTTTCTGTTTCGGACTTCACGAATTGTTATAAATTATAGCAGTTTTGGACTTGTAGTATAACTGTGTGAGACGAGTGAATTGTATATAATGACACTTATGCTTTTTAGTGAGAAGTCATTTGGCTTAACTTTTATTTTTGATCTGTTCTTTTCTGTTAGTTTTTTGGCTTATTTACTTTTCCGAAGTTGGCTTGCAGATTTATTGTTTGTGTTCTTTGACTGTGGTTTTGCTAGCAATAATAATACACATTACGTGAGATGGCATTTCTCTCAACTCATCCTTTTCTCTATTCTATTTTCAGGGCTAATGCACAGCAGCCAAAGCTGTTCGTGGGCATGATTCTTATCCTCATCTTTGCTGAAGCACTTGCCTTGTACGGTCTCATTGTTGGAATCATCCTCTCATCCCGAGCAGGCCAATCCCGCGCAGATTAGAGACGGACGGTCAGGTTTCTCACCAAGTTTCTTTTGCCTTTGGATTTCTTAAAGCATATATCATTGGATTGGGAACGCTTTATTATTTTTTTGGTGGATATAATTCTCAAGCTGATGTCAAATTCCGTGTTTATTGCCATTTTGCTTGTGTAACAGTTGTATTCTCAATAAAGATTTATTAGTCGTTGAGATGTTAGATGACGTTTATTCATGTCTCTATGAGGAATATCGGCGTATCTATTGGACAACTTAGCTTCTGGCTTAAGCTATCATTTTTAGAGTTGTAAAACGTGGGACAGATAGCAAGGCTCGAGTTAATCTTCTTTTTTCCCTAATAGTTTTTTGATAGTTTCACATGCTGCGTCGTCTATGTTGCGAAATGCACCCAACTTGTAAGTCGGATGAATAACGATTTTGAACAAGCTTTTTATGCTGATGAATCCGAACTAAAATTCGGGTATGTAATGGATATGGTACTTGGATTTTGATTACTTTCATTTTGGTTTCATCAAATAATTGCGTGATCTTGTTCTTTGACTGATTTATATTGTAACGTGTAAAATATTGCACTTGTTATAATGATCTATGATGGATAAATTTCTTGTTACATCATCTAACTTTACAAGTACAATGTAGAATTGATTCTTCTCGAAGTATTTAAGCCTTTATCTATATTTTAACAATAAAATTTAGATTGGTGCAGCATTATATTGTAACTAATTTTATGCAACCTAGTTATTAGATATAGAACATTTTGATAGAGTATGAAAAGACTAATCCTCTGCATCCTTTTTCACTCACACAGATCTTTCAAATTGCATTTAAGAAGTAAGAACTGTTTGTATGATTTTACATCAGTTACATTTTAGAACCTTTTTTTTTTTTTTTTCTTTTTTGAATTTGGAAGTGAGAGTAACAAATACTCCTTAAAGTATATGAACTTGAGTTTTGATCTTTTACTCTTAATTAATATTTTTTTAATCAAATAAATATATTAGTCAAAAAATTATTAATTAAAAATAAAGTGTAAATATTCATACTATGTATTCTAAAGATAAGTTCATTTTTTTTTTCCATTTTATTTAAAGAAAAGTGAGAGAATATAAATTCTACACAGTAGCCGTACCTAAAAATTTGCCGTCACTATTTAAAGATCCGTTTAGTTTGTTAATTCAAGTTGAAATGTGACTTTATGTGAGAGTTTTTTACTGTAATAAAAAAGTTAGATGTGACTGTTTGTAAGAGTTTTTTACTGTAGTAAAACTCAAATTCTAAATTCAAATCAGCGAAATGAACGAGCTATAAATTTATTATATTTCTGAGTTCATTTAACAAAAGGTGTTTGACAATTTGCTCCTTTATACCGGCTGTAGTCGGTTTTGTGTGAAGGTTTTAATAGCTGCACACATTTCTAAAAGGTTGTTTTTGTAATATGTTATCCTAAGTGACGTTATGATTGTCATTTTGTACCAATATAATATAAATTACAGGTGCAAAATGGGTATTCGCATAGCAAAGTGTAGGGAGAAGTTGGTAAATTTGTGAACTAAAGTAGATTGATATGCTTGTAACGCCAAAACTGGCATTTGTAATATGGTAGCGTTTGTATGTAATAGCCTGTGAAGTTGTCGTTTTTTATTTTGTTTGTCGTAATAAATGACATTTACGGGTATGTAGACTGAGTTCGTAAAGGATGCACTTATGTTTATCATTACGTAATTTATATGTTTTTGTTAATTAAAATTTTTGTGCAATCTATGCTAATCGGTATAATTTAATATATATATATATATTTATTTAACATCAAATAAAATTTGTTTATCCTAAAAGTTAGTTAATTGCACATGTGAGTATCATGTTCTGTTGACCCAAATTTTCGTGTCGAGTTCAAGTCGATCCATGTGTCACTCTGTTTAGGGAAAACGTCATTGAGATTTGTACCGTTTTGCTTAATATAAATAATTTAAGTATTTAATTTATTTACTTTGTCCATTTATCTATATTTTAAATTGTTAATATAAGTCACAAATCTTATACTTTTCATGTAATTCAAATTAAATCAGTTATAAAAATTTGTCAAAAAATGTTTCTCCATATTAATATATATTTTTAATAAAAATTTAATAAATTAAGTCAATTTGAGTCAATCACGTGTCAATTATTACCATCCTTAGAGTAGATGATAAGATTGTAAGAACACGTAAAATGACTACATAATAATTTGTCCAATGCAATACAAAGTAAAAAATAATAGAAATTTGTGTACGTTAAAAACTTGAGGATGAACCATAGTGTTGCCGAGAAAAGTACTCTTTGGAAGTCTTGTGAAAATGGCGTTGTTTCCCTGAAAAATTATAGTATATGGTATGACTTATGAGAGGCTGAATGATTATCTTGATGGTGTGGATCTATGCCTGAGTTGTACGGATGCTTTGCCTACTGTTGTATTATGTCATTAACTAAATGTTGGAGCTGGATTGTTGTGTAGCTGCATTAGGTTGTGAAGATTGGCTTGGATACACGTTAGTCACCTTATCAGGTACTTTGTGGTTTTTATCATCCACAATTATCAATAATCAAATGATTCACTATTGGTTAAAAAAATAAATTATTATCTTATCTATTTAGCGATATCTTTTTTTATGATCCTATAAAATTTGTGCTATAATAATACTGGTGTAACCAGTTAATTTAAACCATTCCAAAATACATACATAGAATCCGAGAGGAGAAAAAAAAGAAGCTCTCATGGCTAGAGGCTTGGTGTATCATTAGGCATCTGGTCACCAAATTTTACTTACAAGCTCGTCATTAGATGCCGAGTCTATGGTGGGGTTAGTGCCACAAGTGCAGGAGGACAATTGCTAGATCGATTTTATGATAGGGAAGGGGTCGTTGTTGGTCTTGAGGTGTTTTTAGATGCATTGGTCCTTTGTCTCGACCTTATGAAGTTTTTGGTCTGAGAGAGAAATTGAGTCGTCTTGTGGGCACACATCATCCTTTGTCACTATCACATGTGTATGTTTATGAACACTCGTCTTTTTTGCCATTTTCTTTTGTTGATGTTGTGGGACCTCACTCTCCTTTGTGTTTTGATGCTCTCACTTGTGGCTCTTTTCATCTTTCGTTTGTAATAATGGCAAATCCGATCCAAATTAGTTTAGGTTATTGTTTTATTTGCTTAGTGTTTTGTTGTTTATTTAGTATGCAAGATTTATTTCTTTGCGGGTTTTGTTTTGTCTTCATGCTACAGGTTTCTCGACATAGGTTAATCATTTTTTTTTTCTATCAACTGTAGATGATTTATTAAAGAGTCATAAATGTACTTGAATTTTAGTGTACCTTTTTAAGTGATTTTTATTTATGAAGTCTGGTACATACTATTTTTTTTTAGTTTTATTCGAGTTTATTGATAAAATCAATTATCCATCGGCACAATATTTCCTACAATAGGAACTATGTGTATGAATTGTTGTTTACAATTTTTTCATATTTTTGAATATATTATTCGTTGAAAAAAACCATTCCTCAAAATAACGAGAAAAAAATAGAGAAAAAGAAAAATCAAAGCAAAAAGAGCTATTCTAAAATATTCATACTTTTTTTTTTGCGCGTGAGAAAATATTCATAATGATAATCTATATCTATACATACTTAAAGAGTTAAGGAGTTGACTTCTAAATAGATCACGTGTTGGCCTGTATGGAGGCCACATATTGGCCTCTACTTTTTTTTTATTCTCTTTTTTTTATTTTTAGATTATTTTTATATTTTTCTTCTCTCTTTTTTTTCTTACATATATTATTTTTTTATTATTTTTCCGCCACTATTGCCTTTAGCAGTAAATTTTTTTATTTCATTCACTAACCGTGAATGAGTTTTTTAATATGGGTGGACAGAATACAAAATGAAACATATAGGCCTCGTTCATTTCACCGATTCGAGTTTTCAGTTTTAGGTTTCTACAGTTAAAATTTCTCAGAAAATGTCACATCTAACTTTTTCTGTTATAGTGAAAAACTCTCATAAAATGTCACATCTCAGCTCGAATTGAAAACTCGAATCCGTGAAGTGAACGAAACGAATATATAGAATGTTTCGTTTATCTCTTCATAAAAATGATCTTATGTTTATAATCATAATTTATTAAAACATCTTTGCCTAATTTAAAACATGCATTTTAATGTTTTTATTTTTTTTTCATTTTAAATATTGCGTTCTCTAATTGTGCTTAAATAAACTTTACTTCTTAATATGTTTTCATTTAAATAATTTTAAATATGTGCTTGCCTTGCCTAAATATTTTTCTTTGTTCAACATGCTGAATACGCGCGTCGAAAAAAGTACCAATTCCATAATAGCATTTCCCATTTTTAAATCCAGAAAATAACTGTCAGTGTTAACAGGTTGCCGGTTAAAAGATAACTTACTTGCCCCTGAATGCCCTTGATCAAAACTTACCGTTCGATCAAATATAAAGTGAAATAATGTCACATCATATATTTGTACGGTCCAGATAGTGTCTGTGGAATGGGTGGAAATGCAATTTCGTTGGACTTGTAGCCGTGCTCTGAAAATTGAATCAACTTTTTTTTTTTTTGGGAGGAGGCCATTATTGACTTTTTCGTATTTATTTATTTATTTTTAATCTGGCCAACAACTATCGACTTCACAAGTCGCACGCAACAAAATGCAAACGAGGCAACTGAGTTGGGTTAGCCCAAATAAAGCGGGAAAACCGACCCGCCAGGATCAGGAGAAATGGGGGCTATTAACTATTCGATTGTTTAAAAAAAAAATCGTTAGATAGCGGTGACTTGACCGATTCGCACCCTGTAGTACCGGTTTGATTGATTCACCGACTCCGAGAAATGGCAACGACGAGCTCAGTAGGAGTCGGAGGAGGCGGCGATTCCGGTGGGGCTCCGAAGATAGCTTGGAACGAGGCTCAGAGAAGGTTCGAGACGGAGGACAAGAAGGCGTACTTGCAGTACGCTCTAAGGGACGATGGCAAAGTGATGGACTTGGTCCACACCTATGTCCCGCCCTCCAAGAGAGGCCTGGGCTTGGCTTCTCACCTCTGCGTCGCTGCCTTCGACCACGCCAAATCCCATTCCCTCTCCGTAATCCCCACCTGCTCTTATATCTCCGTGAGTTCTTAATTTCTCTATCTCTCTTTCAATTCAAATAATTTCCCCATTATTGATTTATAATATGTCGCTGTTGGTGGATTTCTCTGCTGATCGGGTTTGTTTCTGCTGCTTAATTGAGGATTTTTATTCCTTTTTTTTTTTTTTTTTTTGGGTTTTGATTGTCGTTACTTATACCGAATTCGAAGTGTGGGTGTTTGTCCGCGTCTTGCTTGTTTGGGTTTCTGATAGTTTAGTTTACCCGGAAGTAAATTTCTTCGTGTTAGAGAGCGAAAGAGAGTTGGATTGGGAAAGCTAGGGTTTATAGGGGTGCCACAAAAATGAACTCTATCCCCATGGATCAGATCCCAAAGATGAAGAATGATGAGAGTGTTGTTGCCATTTTTAATTTTTGTACTTCTACACTTTCGTTCTCTTTTTTTGTGTACTTTTGTTTTATTCCTTGTCGTTTTCTCAGATATCGTTCATAGAGTAACGCTAGCATTTTCTCGTTTATGTTGTGTACTTAATTGCCGTTTTCCTGTTCGGCTATTCCTCCTCGTTGTCGCTCCGTATCTTTATCTCCTTGCTTTTAGGGCATGACACATATCGACGTCCTTGTTGTCTTTTCATTATTTATTTCGTTCACCACTATCGTCGTTTTTATAGTCTTGCGTTTTTACTTTTTCACCATATAGTTTGTGTTGTCGTTTTCACTTCAAATGTCGAATTTTTCCTAGTTCTCGTTTATTCTTCGGTTCTTCCCTTGTCGTGTTCGGCATTTTTCTCTTGTTTCGTCGTTTTCCCCTTCGCTCTCTTTTTTCTACTATTTATATTTTTTTCCCAGTTTTTATCGGTTCTTCTTTGCTGTCGTTTTGTATCCTGTCGTTGGTCTCGTTACTTGTCGTTTACTTCAGATGTTAACCTTTCCGTTTCGCTTTTCGGCGTTTTGCTTCTATGCACCATCGTTTTCCCATTCTTTGTCGTTTAGCATTATTTAATTTGTTTGTAAAAGATTTCTGCATATAGAAGCTTTACGGGTTTCTTTATACATGCGAGGAAGTATTATACTGAGTTGACATTTTTCATTTCTTGGCAGGACACTTTTCTTCCGAAGAACCCTTCATGGAATTCTCTCCTTTATTCGGAAGATATCAAATCGAATATATAACCACTTAAATTGTCAAATGCTTTACCACTTGGATTTCTTTGCAGTTGTAAGGGATTTCCCGAGAATTATCTTCTCAGAAACAATAATATGTTCAAGAATAAGTTGTTGGAGTAAAATTTCGTTAACACTTATCCAACATTTTTAGATTAATAATTTAGATTAATAAGTAAATTATCTAAGAAAATTAAAAGAACACTCGAAGAACACAAAAATTTCTGAAGGAATAACAAAAACAAAATGAAAACAATCACAAGACAATTATATTCAGAAATGAGTGTCCGTCCTTTCCTCTCAAACTGAAGAAATTTATAGTACATTAGGATTGAGGAAGTTTAATTCTCCCATTAATTTGAGAGTTTATTCTCTCTTAATTACAATGAGGCTCTTCACCTTTTTGTGAGGTAAAACTGATAAATAATCAATGAGAATTAACTTTTAACCATTCAATGTCTTCAATTAGCGTCGGTTACTTCTCTTGATAACATCACGCGACCTTTGAACTTTCGGCTCGGGAGAGCTTGGGCTCCGTCGAGCCTTTGAATTTATTGCACATTTAATGATTCTGGAAATGCCGCCCAACATCAACCCCCAGTCCACGAGTGTCGCACGCCAAGCAAAGGGGACTAAAACCTGCCTAGAATTTTTCCCCCATTTTAACCGAACATTGTTTCCCCCTCCCAACATACCATGAATGTCGAATATTTGATGAAGATTTTCTAAAATTTCTTTCATTGTTTTCGACAAGCTCACATCTGCAGAATCCATGAATATTCTGAATGTATATGCAAATTTATTGCCAAAAATCATCTCTCATTACTTTTACAATTCTGAACAACTTCCTTATAAATTCAAATTGGAAAATCTACGGGTGCTTCATCACTTGAAGAAATCCTTCCCACTTTGTGACGATTTCCATGATCTATTGGCATATTTTAACTTGAGTTTATGCCAACTTTGTCCAAATGCGCTACGTCATGCCATCGCTTGTTTTGTCCTTTGGTGGAAACTTGGATTGGGAGATTTGACTGTCAACAAATTTAGAGGCATCTACGTAAAAAAGAAAACACCCGGGCACAATGATTCTTTTTACTTCCAAGTGAAACGAAACATCAAACTCATCTTGAATTGTCTTGAAAATGACAAACACTGGAGATCTTCTTGGTTCATAGTTTCTGAAAATTGGGACATCAACCCAAACGTGATTCTTCCTAAGCCTAACAAGGTCATCCTTTCTCAAGAAGCACTTGACAAGATTAGCTCTGCGAAAAAAGCTGACGAGGCAATCAGAAACACAAAGTATCTTCTTGCTAAAGAAACGTTAGATGTCCATTGGCTATGTGACGCTAGAACCTTATCTCCTTCCCCAACGCTAACTTTTGATCCAGATGTGTTGTTTAATGGTATGTCTGACGCGACTACCTTAGAGGAATCTTTGAGTGGTACCGGGGCATTGCTTGATCCATCTTGTTCTCTGAATGACATGGAATTATTTTTGAATGACCCTATTTCTGACGTTTGTCAACCTGCTGACGCTGCTATCTTTGACAAAATAGGTGTGAATTTATCAACACTCCCACCTGACCTCTTTTTATGCTTGTTATACATATTTTATTACTGATTTTTTGTTACCTTTTTTTTTTTTTTTTTTTTTTTTTTTTTACAAATATGGCTAGCAAACGTGATTCCAGACTTCCTTCTGAGCTTCATGGTGATGGCTCTTGCTCACGTGAGCACCACGTGTCTAGACATTTTTCCAAGGACTTGGAATCTCACTTGGCATCTAGGCCCATGAGGCCCCCCAGCCAATCAACCTTTGATCCTGATATTTTCAAAGAACGGATGAAGAAGCGAAAGTCCTCCTTTGACGTTCCACCTACTAGCCTTAATCTACCAACTGCATTAAATCTTGACTCCTGTGCACTAAATAATCCACTTGCTCCTTCAAGACTAGCAAAAAAGTCTTCGAGTCATGAACCTGGCCAAACCTCCAAAGATACTTCCACTCTAGATGTTGTGACTGACGGGTTGGTCCGCTTGTCCATCCACCCTTGCCACGATCCAATGTTGAAAAAGATGGAGAAATTTGCACCTCGCAATCATATTGACGAAGCTAAAAAATGAGAAGCCTTCAACTTGGCTAATTCAATCGAGCGCTGGATTACTGAGGTAAACCCCCACCTTTCCTTTATTGAAATTTCCTGAACCCAAATTGGGCTTAGCTTTATCTCTCTCCTTCTTTTTTAACGTTGGGATTTTCTGAGCCCAAATTACACTTAGACTTTCCTAAGCCAATTTGTTTAACCCTCCTTTTTTTATATTTTAGCTCTGTACAGATCTTATTGTGTACAACTCTCGAACAAAAGAAATGTTTGAAGAGGCAAAAGTAATTACACCAAAATTAAAGGAATCTCAGGACAATTTGAAAGTGACACAAGAGAAATTGCTTCAATCTGAGAAATTGGTTACGCTGACGGAGAGCATATCAGATGGTTAGAAAGCTAAATACAATGCTCTTCTGACCTCCTCTGAAAATGATAGGAAGACTCTTGTGGAGACTAAAGCTGCTCTTGATATGTCTCTAAGGGAACTCGAGCGAGTGAAGAAAGATTTGGAGCTCTGCCATGCCAAGTACGAGGCTAAAAAAGTTGAGCTTGCTGAAGACGAGTTCTGAAAAGGCTAGGAAGAAGCCAAGAAGGCAATCATTTTCTATAACAAAGACCTTGACCTTAATCTATCATTTGATCCTCTTAGGCCTCGTTCATTTCACCGATTTGAGTTTTCAGTTCTAGGTTTCTACAGTAAAAAGCTCTCAGAAAATGTTACATCTAACTTTTTCTCCTACAGTGAAAAGCTCTTAGAAAATGTCACATCTCAGCTCGAATTGAAAACTCAAATCTGCGAAGTGAACGAGGCCTTAGTAGTTCTCACGTTGTTCAGACTCCTTCAGCTCCTACACCAAATGACTTTAATCCTGATGATGAGATGACTGAACCTATGAAGGATTTAGAAAAATCACCAAGTAGCGATCCTCCAAGTATGGATCCACCAAGCAACACCTAGAAGCTTTTTTTTTTTAACTCTGCACTCTATTCTTCATGCTTGCTCTTGTGTACTTGGGCCCGGTTGGCTGGCACTTTTTAATTGAAACTTGTTATTTTGTTATCTTTCCTGCAACATAATAATTTTTTATTTTTCTTTGCAATTGCTACATTTTATCAATGTAGACTAGCTAAATTTTTTTTTATTATTTAGAGTTATCCCATGCCCACCTAGGGTCAGGTTTTTCCTTCAGCTAAGTTTCTTCCTCGGCTTAGGATTTCCCGTGCCCACTTGAGGTCGAGTTTTTCTAAGTCGAAGCTTTTTTTTTTATTTTCTCGTGCCCACTTGGGGTCAGGTTTCACTGAGCTAAAGCTCTTTGGATTTTCCTGTGCCCACCTAGGGTTGAGTTTTTCCAAGCCGAAAGTTCTTTTTTTATTTTCCCGTGCCCACTTGGGGTCGGTTTTTTTTCCTCTTTTTTTTTTTTGAACTGATACACTTCTATCCCCTCATTTTCTTTGTCATATTGAACAAAATGAGAAAGAAAATATTAAAAGAAGAAATTAGCAAACACTTCGACTTTATTTAGTAATAATATGTTTCGCCTGACAAACTTGGCGTCCATCGAAGTACAAACACACACTAAACTTTAAACTTTTTAACTATTGATAATACTTCCTAAGGTGTTCAACATTCCAAGAGTGAGTTAACACCTTACCCCATTTATCCTCAAGCTAATATGTTCCAGCACAAACAACCTTGATAACCTTATATGGCCCCTCCCAATTTGGCCCAAGTACACCATCACTTGACTTCTTTGTGCTTTGGTTAACTTTCTTAAGAACCAAATCACCTTCCTTGAATTTCCGTTCCTTAACCCTTGTGTTGTAGTACCGAGCCGTCGCCTGTTGGTATACGGCTGCACGGATGGTTGCTTGTTTTCTCTTTTCTTCTACAAGATCGAGATCAGTGCAGAGCTCCTCATTATTATGATCTTTGTCATAGGCTTCGACTTGATATGTGGGTATTTTGACCTCCGCTGGGATCACTGACTCCACTCCATACGCCATGGAAAATGGTGTCTCACCAGTAGAGGTTCTACTTATGGTGCGATAAGCCCATAGCACTAGCGGTAGCTCCTCTACCCATGCACTTTTCAAACCCTCTAACTTCTTTTTCAAATTCTCCTTTATAGTTTTATTCACAGCCTCAACCAGTCTATTGGCTTGCGGATGCTCAGGAGAAGAGTAGCTCTTTTGGATCCCCATTTGTCTACATATGCTCTTTAATTCTTCATTATCAAATTGCCGAGCATTGTCAGTGATGATCGAATGAGGTATTCCAAATCTACAGATGACTGATTTCCAAATGAAGTTGGTTACCTTTGCTTCGGTGATTCGCAGCAATTCTTGAGCCTCCACCCATTTGGTAAAGTAGTCAATTGTGACGATTGCATACTTGTATCTTCCATTGGCGAGTGGGAGTGGTCCAATGTCGATTCCCCACGTAGCAAATGGCCATGGGCTTGAAACAGAGGTCAAAGGTTCTCCTGGTTGCCTTGGGATATGTGAAAAATGTTGACACTTATCGCAAACTTTGACTAACTTTATCGCATCTTTTAGCATGGTAGGCCAATAATACCCTTGGCGAAGTGCCTTATGTGATAGCGATCTTCCACCCGAGTGATTCCTGCAAATTCCTTCATGAATTCCCCTCATCACGTAATTGGCTTCATCCTTGTTTAAACACCTAAGGTAAGGCAAAGAATAACCTTGCTTGTACAACTTTCCATTGATAATTAGAAATCCATTAGCAAGGTACCTAAGCCTCCTCACCTCATTTTTCTCTATGGGTAATTCTCCTGTTGACAAGTAGAGGAATATTCGAATGATCCATGAACTTGCATCTTTGGGGCTTAACGCACAGACTTCAACATGCTTAGCTATACTTGATTGCTCTAGGACCTCAATTGGCACATTCCCAAGTTGATCCTCATCCATTTCTGACGCCATGCGAGCAAGACAATCTGCTTCCATATTTGCGGCTCGGGGTACTTGCTCTAACTCATGCCACTTGAATTTCTCAA